TATGAAGGTAATTGGATAGTTATCATGTGAGATTTGATTACGTCTAAAGGTATGTTAATCCTGATCATCATTTTAGATACCCCTTGATGTTCACTTTTTATAGGCAAAAAAGAAAAAGGAAAACAAATAAGAAAAATATTTGAGAGAAGTAGCGAAAAAAATATTTTAACAAAAAAATACCACTGTTTGAACTAACAATAAAATATTTTTTAGTTGAGGGTATGGAAAATAAAGAGAGAAATATTTTTGAAAAGGGGAGTTGTTGTTTTTATTCGCAGGCTAAGCTGTGACCCTCCTTGAATGAACACGTTTTTTACGTAAAAATTCTTAGACAAAATCCAATGAGAAAGAAAGATCATTGGTTTCATCATGTGATAGTTTTCATTATTTTTGTCATTTTCATAATTTTAGCCGATCAATCACTAATTTACGTTAAGAAATTACAGCTCTGTTTGATAATGATCTATGAAATTATACTTGATTTTTCTTTTTGAAATATTTCGTCATCTATTAGTCCAATCAGGTCGAGCTTATATTTGTTGAAAAGCTCTCGTCAAGACAGTTCTAATGATACTATTTCCATCAAAATATTGATCATTAGTTCAAGAGTTATTCCATTTAACAGTATTATTATTAATAATATAATACTTAATGATAATACTTTAAAATAAACTGTTATTAGATATCTCTTTTCTTTTTTATGATAATAGATAATAATATGAAATTACAAATTATTGCACAGGCATTAATAAATTGTGAAATGAAAAATATATATGTATGAGTTCTGTAATATATAATAAATACAATAGAAATTATACTAAAAGTATTTATAACAGATACTGATTCTGGTATAGATCTAGTTATTTAGTTAAAGTATCCTTTTATATTTTTAATTCATTGTATCTTACAGTTAGACAAAATCTACCTTTATATCTTAATTTAAAACTTAATGGATTATTTGACTAATTTAAAAAAGATTTTTATGAATATAAAAATAGCTTAGAAAAAGAAGTATTTGAGCATTGTTAGAGAAATTTACTTATTAATTATTCAAATACAATTAATTATCTTAAAAAAACTCTTTATTTATTTAAATATTCTTAAGTACAAGCATTTAATACTACTATATTTACAATAGATATTTAAATAACATCATATGAGAGTAGTCAATAGAAAAAGAGAAAATCTACAAATTTTGAATAATTTTAGTTATTAAGCTAGTTTTGTTCACATGACCATGTGAATCAATAAAAAATTTTTTGACTAAAAAGTAGATTTTCTCTTTTTTTACTGATTGCCCTCATATTGTAAATCTATTAATACTATCTTTAAACATTTTTTACATAATTCAAATAATATATTTATAAATATTTTTTATAATTAAAGATTGATTAAAAGAAGAATAAGATAATATTAATTATTTAAATTAGTAGAGTTTTCTTTTAACAATTCATCTAATATAATAGCTTCTAATATTTTTGCTAATATGATTAATGAACTTAAAACTAATTAGTGCTTAAAAATGATTGAGTCGATTGATTTAACTTAAGTAAGAATTTTACAACTTTTTTTATTCAAAAAATTCACATTATTAAAATAGAATTAGCATTTAGTTATAATGTGAAAACTTTTAGATCAATCTTGGATTAATGATAAAAATTCTTAAGTAATGTTAAAAATTTTTTATATGTTATAACTTATAAATTCAATATTAATAATTACTTTTTTTTCTTTTTAGAACTGGTCATTTACTAATGATTTTATTGAAAAATAAGAAGTACAACAACTTTTTTTTCAACAACTTTTGCTATTATGTGACCAAAATAAAATCAAATCTCTTTAGGATACTAACTATTTAACTTTTTCAGAAATATATCACTTAGTCATTTTATTGGATAATAGAATATACAAATATTTATGCATATCCTTAAATAACCATAGTATTATTTGTAAGCTTTATTTTTATATAATGCTATGAACATTTCAAGCTCAATTTCATATTGGATTTCTTAATTCATGATAGTTTATTGCAACTCCTTTAGATCTTCAGAGTCGCTTATTCTATCCTACTTCAAAGTTTGAAATAAATATGGCTATTCCATTTGAAAATCCTTCCAATTTTTTTAATCAATTATTAATCCTATCAACAACCTATATATTATAATTAGTAAACAAAAATTGTATTATATGAATATTTAAGGTTTATTTAAGCAAGCAAATCAAATTGCTTTAGGATTAAAAATCAAACCAGATAAATGCCATTTCACAGCAAAGGAAGTTCAATTTCTTGGACACATAGTAGGGATTGAGGGAATCAATAAGATTCAAGAATACCTTGAACCTAAAACTACAAAAGAATTAAGAAGATTTATTGGCATGACGGCCTACTACAGGAAGTTTATCAAAGAATTCTCAAAGATATTGCAAAACATGTGATGAATCTTTTGTTAAATCACTTGAGAAATATATTACTAAAAAAAACTGTGAAGCATTGGAGTTTACACTATTTGAATCATTAGGTAATCAAAATATAATTAATCTAAAGTCTGATCAGAAAAATGCCAACCAACTTGGGAATCCTATAATTAGACATCCAAAGGGAAGACATCATGGAGTTACAAGGTACAGGAATCCTTTAAAAGAATTTAAAATCAAATGAATATAAAATCAACAAAACAAATGCGGTTTATGTAATAACATAGGGCACAATCATACAACTTGTCCAATAAAAAATCATCATCATAATTAATCTCAAATAACTACTGTAATTCAAGCCGCCGACGGCGGCTTGAATTACAGTAGTGATTTGAGCCCGGCTTCCTGCTTATATCTTTTAATAGTATTTTTTAGGATTTCTTTAATATTTTATTAACATGCATTTTTATAATTTCAAAATTTTTATTGTAAAAAAAAAAACTTTATTTTTATATAATAAAGGGATGCACACAAAAAAAAATATGCATTGTTTTATTTTTAGAAAAGTTTATTTAAATTTTTACCAATTCAAAATTTGAAAATTTTATATATAATATATGCACCCTGTAATTTACGCAGGTGCGTAGAAAATAAATACCCATTCCTTTGCCTTTAACTTTTGAGCTCGTATCTCACGTCTTAATTGAACAAATTTCTTTCCATTAAAAATCCCAAACTTTAACAAATTAAATAACTTGTATTTTAGCAATATTATAGAAAAATAATAAGAACACACACACAATAACTTAAAGAATAAGTTTACTTTTTTGAAAAAGCCTCCCCAAAAAATCGCTTTCCTTATAAAAAAGTATTATTTATTATTTTTGAGATGCGAAATTTTTTTTTGAAAAAGCGAACTGTCATATGAAAGAAACAGTCTTCTTTCAGAAATAACGAGTTCAAAATTTTGAAAATATATATATATATATATCGATTTTATTATACAACGATTTAAAAAAAAACAGTCCGGTTTATTATAAAATTTTTTTTGAAAAAAATCGTTTTATCAAAATTTATAAATTTGATATATCGATTTTTATGTTTTAATATAGATCAAAAAATTTAAAATAATCGGTTAAACGAGAATTTATTAAGTTAGGCCACGCACAATTTTTAAAATTTTATGTTACGTAAACCGAAAATGCGGACTTTATCGTTATACAGTTGCGATCAAAGAAATGCATCACCTGAATTTTTAGCGTTTAATGATTTAATGTTTGAGATTCCGACAATCATGAATTAAACATTTTTTAGAGTAGCTACGATAAAACTAATTCAAATGTTAGTTAATTTATTTTGAAAGTCTACATATAAATTTCATAAAGATTATAAAGATTGGATCATTGGTTGTGGATAAATTAGCTTTCAAAGACTGTAGAAAAAACACATTTTACTATTTAAATTGATAATTCCTCCACAACCAGTGATCCAATCTTTATGAAATTTTGTACGTGTGCTCTTCCAAAGTAGATTGATTAACTTTAGAGTTGGTTTTATCATAGCCACTCTAAAAGAAGTTTTATCCACGATTGAAATTTTACTAAGTGCTAGTTGCGAAATCTGTATGATAATTTACGTTAAATGATTGATGATCTATATTTTCGGAATCTCAAACATTCAAATAAGAATAAGAATTTCTATTCTAAAATTCATATTTAAGGAGATAAATCATTAAAACGCTAAAATTCAAGTGATGCATTTCTTTTGATCGCCACTGTATTTCTAACTGATAATTTACTATACGACTTGATATAGTTTTGTTATATGATAGACACCCATTGTTACATAAAGCTAAAATAAAAAAATTTCAAATCTTGATAGTATGAGATGATTTGATGATTTTCTTATTTAAAATAATGACGTTGTTTAACAATAACTAAATGATTGCCTTATTACCTTATTTATAAATGTTCTATTTTACCTAAATAACTGTAACTTTTCTGTAACTTATCGCGACATTTCTGAAGATTGACAATTAGCAAGAAAGTGAAAGAAAAAGGTGAGAACAAATCGGATTTATTTATTTATTTATTAATTTTTTTCTTTTGCTAATTACCGTTACCTATTTATAATGAAATAATTTGAGAAATATGATTTAGGTTCGAAATTATTGCGGAACTTAGTTTTATGTGTTGAAGAGTAATTCAGCATGCGCCGACACGTCTGTGAAGCAAATTTTATAAAATTGTTGTTTAGTATCTTTTATTAGCAGCAGTTTAGCAGGGACTCAGCCTTTTAATGTTCGAGATTTTTTTTTTTTTTGTTTTCAAGTACTACAATTTTTTTTGTAAAAAAAAAAAGAACAATATTGTGCACCTCATACGCTTATCGGATGTGCAAGAATGTTACCTTATTTTACTACATATATTATATATATCAAAGTGTATCTAATTGACTTTTTTTTGGTTAGACGCTAAATGAAATAGGGAAACAAATTTTGTATAAAATGATAATTTCGAAATGTGAAGTTTTGCAACGAGAAATTATTCAATCACCAAACATTAAATTTTCTTTACCAGTTTCAAATGGCTTCTCATCGCCCATTAATTTTCCCCCTTATAATAATATGTTTTCTTACTGTTACATTTTTTTATCTAGAATACAATAGTTTAGAAGATAATAGTAACGCTTTAACTTCAAAAGAACCCATATCAGGTGCAAATAACGCTTCACAATTAAATTCAACAACTTTTAAAAAGGTTTCAAAACAAATACCAAAAAAATCAACATCGAGACATAAACAGTATGGGCCAATCCCATTCCGAGAGAAGATGGAATGTGACGGTTATCATGAAAAAAAAGGAATTTCTTTCCAACAATTATGGAATTGGCCACCAGTTCGTGTCTTTATCGGCATATGGACGGTGGCGGATAGGTT